ACTTGCTCTTTTGGTTTTGTGGTTGACTTCACTATAAATTGATATCTCTGGTTCCTTATTTTCAGTCTTGTAGGTTTGTTTGACTTTAAATACTTCTAGATCTGGATTGGCTTCTAGGTGTTGTTGTCATATATGTTAATCTCAAATTGTTGTCTACTGTTGTTGGTTCTCTGTCCAAAGAATTCCCTTTAGTATTTTTTGTAAAGTTGGTCTGGTTTTTATAAATCTCTTTAATTTCTGTTTATCTGGAAATATCATAATTTCACCATTGTATTTGAGGGACACTTTTCTTGGGTGTATGATTCTTGGTTGGCAATTTTTTCCTTCCAGCCTTTTGTATACGTCATTCCATTGCCTTCTTGCCTGCAGGATTTCTGTTGAGAAATTAGAGCTTAGTCATATTGGTTCTCCTTTTTAAGTAAATTCATTTTTCCAGGAGCTGGTTTCAAGACTTTGTCCTTGTTTTGGTTTTGGAAACTGATTTTAAAAAGTCTTGGCGATTTTCTTTTGGGGTCTATCTTGTCTGTTGTTTGTTCAAACTCTTGAATGCTTATCTTCTCGTCTTTCATGATGCTAGGGAAGTTTTTCTGTCAACAACTCTTAGACAATTTTCTCTGTGCTTTTTTTTTGGTGTCTTTGTGTTCTGGAATTCTGACTACATGTAAGTTGTCCCTCTTGATAGGTTCCCACGTAAATCTAAAACTTTCTTTGGACTTTTTTTTTTGTTGTTCTTTTTTTCTGATTGTTTTTCCAACAGACTAGTATTGAGAAATTTGTCTTCACGCTCACTACCTGACCTTTCCATTGATTCAGCACCTAATTCAGTAGTGGTCAGTTCAAGCTCTAATGGGGCTGAGGGCAGGATCTTTGTGTATTTCCAGAAGGAACTCTTTCAGGCTCAGAGGGCAGCTGATGGCTGTGCCTACTCACATGGGACTGGTCAGGGATTGGTCCTGTGCACACTGCTGGTCTCAAGAGCAGCGTCCACATGCTTCCAGACCACTCAGGAGTGGTATGCCCATCATCCAAGTTACAACACTGTTGCTCCATTCTCTGTCAAAGCAGGAGCTGTGCAGGGGGTAGGTGTAGACCATAGCTGGCCTCAGCTCTGGTTACCAGGAGACTGTGGGAACAAGAGAGAAGCACACCTTTTCCATGGTCAGGTCACCACCTAGACCCAATGCTGCTCACAGAAGGTCAAGATGGCTGCACAGTCAGCTGACAGCTTCTCCATCTGGCTCCTTTCTTGTCGTCCATCAACGTCTTCTCCCAGTTAGTATTCCACTCACTTCCTTATCCTTTCCTCTGAAGCTCACTGTCCCAGGATTTTCATCTGTATCTGTTTCATGTGGTCTCTTGTATCTTTGTTGTAGAGGGTCTGTGTAACATGTCAGCCTAGTCCGCCATCTTGTCTGAAGTCCTCCCAGATCATTTTTAGGAAGTAGTTTTAAGAAAACTGAAAACTTCATTGGTGAGAAAAAGGCCAGGAAAGTTGTGCTGAGGATTTTTCCCCATCATAACAATGTACCTGTTCATTCGTGAAGGGTCACAAGGGCTGTTTTATGAGAATTTAGATGGAAAACCTAACCCTACCCACACTACAGCCTGATCTTGCCACTTCAGACTTCTTTATTTTTTGCAGGGGCAAGGTAGGTAGGAGGAAAGAGTGAGGGTAAGGGTTAGGACTATGGCTAGGTCTGGGATAGGCCTGAGACGTCCTTCATTTAGTGTTAGGGTTATGGCTAGGACTAGGGTTAGTGTTAGGGTATGGGTTGATCTAGGGCTAGGAGAAAGGCTTGCTCTAGTTTCTAGGACTACAGTTAGGTTTATTTTACTTTCTTATTTTCTTGAAATCTACTTGATTTCTTCTTCATTTGGAAGTTCCATAAGTAGATCATTCCCTTGTTTTCCTTTATTTTGTTGTTGTTGCAACTGTATCATTGGCTCTCTCTTTTCAATATTATAGGTCTGTTTTACTTTGCATACCTACATCTGGGATGAGTTCAGGGGACATGGTCATGTATGTAACTCAGGTTGTTGTCTGCTTCTGTTGCTTCTCTGTCCAAAGAACTCTCTTTAGTGGTTTGTGTAAGGTTTTTCTGGTGTTAATACATTGCTTTAATTCTTGTTTCTCTGAAAATGACCTAATTTTACCATCATATCTGATGGACAGTTTTGCTGAATATGTGATTCTTGGTTGGCATTTTTTTTTTTTCTTCCCAGTTTTATATTTGTCACTCCATTATCTTGATGCCTGCATGATTTCTGCAGATAAATCAAAGCTTAGTTTTATTAGTTCTCCTTTGTAGGCAATTTTTGTTTTTCATGAGCTGCTCTCTGGATTCTTTCCTTGTCTTTGGTTTCAAAAAGTTTGATTACAATATGCCTTGGTATTTTTCTTCTGGGATCTATCCTGTTTTGAGTTTGTTCCATTTCTTGATGGCTATCTTTTTGTTTTTCATGATGTTAGGGAAATTTTCTTCCAACAGATTTTGGACAATATTCTCTATGTTTTTTGTTTTGTTTTGTTGTCTCTTCCTGTTTTGGAATTCCAACCACACCTAAGTTATTCCTCTTGATAATAAATCTTAGGATTTCTTCTGGTCTTTTGTTCTTTTTTTTTGGATTGTTCCCTTAGTAGATGAATATTGAGAGATTTTTCTTTAAACTCGGTAATTAATCCTTCCACTGATTCAATTCTACTTCTTTTTTAAAAGTTCCTTAGCATATTTATTTCAGTATTTCTGAGGAATCTGTCATTTCCTAAGCAGTAATTTCAGTTTGAGGCACCCTGGTGGCATAGTGGGTTACATGTTGGGCTGCTAACTGCAGAGTCAGCAGTTCGAACTATCAGTCCCTCTGCAGGAGAAGGATGAGGCTGTCTGCTCCCATAAAGACTGATAGCCTTAGGAGCTGTATACAGGGTGGCATGAGTTGGAACCAACTCAACACACAAAACAACAATAACAACAACAAATTCGTTTTGTTCTCACAAATGCCACAGAAGATTCTGTTGACTAGCTCCTGGAACACCCTACTTGGTAAAGAGACTGAGACCATATTGTGGTTAGAGAGACAAGAGAGTCACAGTGGTAAATAGATCTGCTAAAGCACAAGAACATGTTGTTACTGTTGTTAAGTGCCGTTGAGTTGGTATCAACTCATAATGACCCTGTATAGGGTTTCCAAGGAGCAGCTGGTGAGTTTGAACTGCCTACCTTGTGGTTCAAAGCAACCTTGCAGTCCAATGCATTAACTCACAGTGTCCCCCCAGGACTCTGCATATTGTTGTTGTTATGTGCCGTCGAGTAGGGTCCAACCCGTAGAGGTATAAATTTTAAGGGTCAACATTTTCTTTCCTTCATACCTACTGTAGCACTCTCTTCTCCTTCTTCTTTTAACATTTTATTGTGAATTGAGTGAAGGTTCTCAGGCAAGATCAGCTTTACATTCAACTAGTTTTACACTTCGTTTCATCTCAATGATTACAATCCCCTCCCGGCAACAACAGCTATCTGACTCTGTCTCATTCCTTTGTATAAGTTGAATTTGTCATTTTTTCTCTGAGAATTGTGACATTGTATTCATATTTCATTGATGATTGTATGAATTCTCAGGCACTCACTACATGTCTCCTGAAGGATGTGGCAGAGACCGTCAGTGTGAAGGTAGTTAGTTCTCGGTTCACTGCTTGTGTAGTATAGTTCAGGGTGGGTTCACGTGCCTCTAGATTCAGGCGTCTGACCCCAGACAGAGCAGAGGCTGTGCAGGAAGAGGTACAACTGACCACTGGTGGGTGAGGACAGGGACTGGCCACCCCCCTGAGCACCAGGAAAGCACATGAACAAGAGAGATTGTGCTCCTTGGTCTCCACTTCCAGCTGCATCCTGTGGCTGCCGACCTCTGTACGGACAGCCACTCACAGAAGTCCACGATGGCCAGGCTGCTCCATGTCAGCTCACCCATTTGTCTCTCTTGCTGCTCCTGTTCAGTTTCCTTTTCCCGCCAACACTGAATTCACTTTACTGTCCTGTGCTCTGACGTTCAGGGCCCCAGGCTCAGTGTCTCTGTTTCTGTCACTTGCTCTTTCCTGGCTTTGTTGGCTCAGTGCATCTGCCTACTCTGCCATCTTGCCTGGGCTCCTCCCCAACTTCTCTGTATTTCCCAAACTAAACAAAACCTATTAAGAACATAATTTGCTTCCCTCCGGGACATCTTTGTGTTTGACACAAAGATGAAACAAACAGCACAGACTTCTTCAGGGAAGAGTTAGAGACAGAAACACCAGCTTCAGAAGTGTGTAGACCCAGATGGAGGAGGTGTTGAGAAACAACAGCTTCACATTTTGATAATTTTGCTTAATAAAGGTTTCTAAGATGTTGTCATCCTTTCTGACGTGCCCTCAAACAGCTGACCCCTAACACATTTCTGGTGGCTCAGCACTCACTCTGATACCCACTGGCTTTCCAGCTGCACTTGAAAGTATGCAGATGACCTGCTGTTTGGGAAGGGATTTCCTGCACAGCTTTCTGTCCCCAGGTACATGGTCACCTCAGTTACCACTTTTCTAACAGACATTCCACACCCATCCCGCTTCTCTTGAATGAATCTGGGGCCCAAGGAAGGAACAGTTTTAAGAGTGTGAACAATAAGAATCGAATGTCTTATCAAATATTGCCCAGTGTTTGATTTTATGTTGTTGTTTTCAGACCTCCTGAAGAAGAGTTAATTTAGTTATGGATAATTTTGTGTTTCTTTTTCATTTTTTTAACTTGGAAAACATCTGTAACTTTGCTTATGTTTCCTGCATTCTTATAACAGAGGACGCAAGGATATCTTCCCTATTCCTTAACCCCTGCTTGCTTGAAGAGTAAAAACTTCTTGGTTTTGTTGAGGTTTGTGTGGAAAGTGCCTGGGCGAGCTGCTAGCCCAGATTCCTATGCTTGGACCTAATCCACTCTCTCTTCCTCCCACGAACGCCTGTCTGTGGACGCCCTCAGAGTGTATGGCCCAGCTGAGGGGCAGGACGCCGTGTTCCAGGATGTGCGCCCCCTGCTCACATCTTTCTTGGACGGGTGAGTGCAGGCTCCTCTAAGGCCATTTAAATGTAAGTAGGTTTTATCCATGGCATCCTGGTATGGCGCTGAGGGTAAGTACTGGACCACAAAGGGCTGTTTGAACTGCAAGGTGAGTGGTTCGAATGTACCAGTCACTCCTCGAAAATCCCATACAGGGTTGGTTTGAGTCGGAAGTGTCTCCATGGAACTTAATAACACCAACAATAGATTTTATCCATGCTACAGATCAGAATCTAACATTAGAATCACATTTTATATGACAATAGAGCAAACCCACATCATCCAGCTACCAGACCAAGCAGCCCTTCCAGTCACCTCATCTGCATGCAAAAGCCAGCCAGTGAGCAAGGAAGACAAACGAAGAATTGATGCCTATGAGTTGTGGTGTGATGAAGAATATTACACAGATGCCCTGAGCTGTGAGGAAAATGAAAAAAAAAAACCTGTCTTGGAAGAAGAGCAGCCAGAACGGTCCTGAAAAGTGAGGATGGGGAGACTTTGTCTTTTATACTCGGACGTGTCACCAGGAGGACCAGACCCTGTAGAAAGAGACCATGTTTGGTAAAGTAGAGGGCAAGTGAATTAAAAGGAAGACCCGCTCCCAATGAGGTGGCTTGGCACAGTGGCAGCAACAGTGGGCTCAATCGGAAGGATGATAGTGAGGAGGGAGAAGGCCCAACCAGTGTTCATTCCTCCTCTGTGAAAAGGAAGGGCTGCTAAGAGTGGAATCAAACTGATGACCCCTACCAAGAGCTCTGGTAGTATAGTGGTTATGAATCAGGCTGCGAACCTTAAGGTCTGCAGTTCAAAACTACCAGCTGTTCCGTGGGAGAAAGATGAGGCGTTCTGCTCCTGTAAAGATTTACAGCCTCAGAAACCCTGTACAGGGTCACTATGAGTCAGAACCGACTCCACAGCACACAACCACAACAACAACCAACAGCCCAACGACAAGAAGAGCAAACTCATAAACAAACACTGATCCAGGATCCATGGAGAGAGATGATACTCTGCCTGCTAGGAAGAGGCATACAAGTGATTCTAGGAATAATTGTTCAACGGTAGGTAAGCACACCCTAGGCTCCAAGTGATATTTTATTCGTGTTGCATGCAAGCTTAAAGAGGGCACGACAGCTGTTTGCTTTCTGGGAACCGTGTTGGATTTTGGAGTTTTAAAAATGTTCATTAAGAGTGTGACTATCAGACGCAGGGCCTTCCCTTTAGAGAAGACAGCCCTCTGTTGATGGAGTGGGCTTCACCGAGTTCCCTGCTTCTACAATCCAGAACACTTCTTGAACAGGGCGTCAGACCACATTCGTACCCTTAGTTGAGACACAAGCCAGGACCTCCCACATCAGAACATTTGTAACAGTCCCAGTTTTGAGGGGATGTCTACATTAGTGTTCCTGAAGAAGACTTACTAGTGTTTGCCCAACCAAGGGTGTAGGCACAGCCAACTGCAAGATAAAAATTGTAAGCACAGCTTTGCTGTTTCAGGGCAGAAGTGAGCCAGGCATTCAGCAGAACTCCTCTTGCACTTCTGAGTCCCAGCTGGTGAGTCGGGTCCACACAGGAAGTCACTCCCCCGCTTAGTACCTCTAGCCATGTCGTCATGCCGCCTCTAGCAGCACATGTCCTCTCATTCAACTGGGGTTGGACCATGGCCCCCATGAGTGAGTGTGCAGGCATTGATGAACGACTGGCTGTGAGGCTGCCCTGGTGGAAGGAGCAAGTGGTTTGCGATTGGATGCTTGCCTAAAGGTTGGCAGTTGGAAGCCACCATGCCATGGTGCCATGGCAGGGAAGATGTGTCCATTGGCATCCATGAAGATTGTTGTTGTTAGGTGCCATTGAGTCAGTACCAACCCATAGCAACCTTATGCACAGGAGAATGAAACACTGCCTGATCCTGGGCCAACCTCACTACTGTTGCCACACTTGAGTCCATCAATGCTGCCACCTGGCCAATCCATCTCATTGGGGGGTCTTCCTCTTTTTCTCTGACCCTCCACCTTACCAAACATGATACCCTTCTCCAGTGACTGGTCCCTCTTGACAATATGTCCGAAGTATGAGAGATGAAGAAGTTTGGCCATCTTGGCCTCCAAGGAGCACTCTGGCTACACTTCTTCCAAAACGGATCTATTGGTTCTTTTGGCAGTCCACGACACTTTCAATATTCCCCTCCAACACCATAACTCAAATGCATCAATTCTTCTACGGTCTTCCTTATTCACCTTATTCACATATCCTTTTGCATGCATATGAGGTTATTGAAAATTCCATGGCTTGGGTCAAGCTGACATCTTTGCTCTTCAACACTTTAAAAAGTTCCTGTGCAGCAGATTTGCCCAATGCAATATGTCATCTGATCTTTTGACTGCTGCTTCCGCGAGTGTTGATAGTTGATCCAAGAAGAATGAAGTCCTTGACAACTTCAATCTTTTCTCCATTGATAAGAATGTCATTTATTG